CCAGAGAGGACATACTGCACTTGAACACTCTGGAAAACATATATGTTCTAAATGTAGGATGACAGAATTATTGATCAAAGTTAGCATCATTGTACCTCAGCATAGGTAAAAATGATTGCATCTATCTTAATCACTGATTTAATGCACCACCCTGGGGGGCTTCATAATGGGGCAGGCTATGGGACAGTGGTGTCCGGTAGCCCTCCATGCTGCCCCCCGGCCCATCCTTATCTGTTCTCCAATTTTAAAGCACCTCCTGGGCTGAGGGTTGGAGCCAGGGAGCCCATTTACATCATGGTGGTTTGGCTGGGTTCCCGGTGTCTGGGGGGTCCAGTGGCCCTGAGGCGGGTGGGCAGGGTGGCGCCCTGGGGGATCTGTGGGTTCCTGCAGGGGTTCTGCCTCCTGACCGGCTGTGGTTTATGGGCCCTCTGCTATGGGGTCCCGATGGGGGATTGACTGCTCGTGGCGGTCCGCTCTCTCCTGTGTATTGGTGGGGGCCCGTCCTGGGGGGTTCGGGCGGGTGGCCCTTCGCGGTCCCCTGGTTCCTGATGCGCCGGGGACATATGCCTTGCAGTATCACCACCTCCTTGCCTCCCTCGTCCGCCCGGGCCTGGGTGGGCTCTCATTACTGTCCGGTCCGGCGTCTGCTGGTGGCTGGTGCGGGCCCGTCCGGTGCTGGTTCTCTCCCTGGGGGCGGTGCCGGGCCCCCGCGCCTGGCTCCTTGGGTCGGGGGCGGTCCCTGGGTGCGTCCGTGGGTGGGGGCGGGCGGGTGGTCGGGTGCGGGTGGTGGTTGGGGGGGGTGGGGGCGGTCCGCGTCGGGCGGTGGGTGGGCGGGCCCTCCTGCCCCGCCTGTCTGGGGTGTGTCTCTGGCTCTCTGGGGGTGCCGGCCATTGCCGCCCTGGGTCCTTGGGCCTGCGTGGTGTCCTGCGGCCTCTGCGGCTCCCTGGTCTTGGGGTCTGGGCGCTCCTGCGGTCTTGGGGTGCCATACCGCCCCCCTTCCCCCGCAGGGCTGGCCCTGGACCCTGGTGATGGTTTTCATAAACACATTGGGAGGGTTCAAATACACGCATGCATGTTCGATACTTCAGCTCCGTGACGCATCGCAAAGAACCGATGGGATCACTCCAAAGGGGCCCACTTGCTTCTCAAACCTACCACACCGCGCTGGCAACTCTTCTCTGCAATCGGGCTTTCCCCCTCCACCAAGACTCTCACATTTTTGGTGTTCAGTATAGACTTCTCTTTTGTTTTTGTTTTTCAGTACAGTATAGTAGACATGTATATGTTTATTTTCGATAATCTGCATGGAGCACAACCACCTCAAGGCCACAATACATCAGCTACACTGCCTGTTTCTCCCCTGTTTTTTTTTCGTTTGTTTGTTTATTTGTTTGTTTTTCCTCCTTCTTCTCCGCATGCACTGTCACTATATAACTCAGGACTTAAGCACCTGCCCCCTCCCCCTTGCTTGTTTCCTTACTTTCCCCCTGACACACTTTGGTGTATCACGGCCCTCTCTGACTCATATTAGGAAGTTTTTCCAATAAAGGCTGATAGGCTAGTCTCCAGGGAGGGTGGGTGACGGTCACAACCACGCATTATGGGTATTAAATACTTGACTGCAAGATTAACAGTGCATCAATCTTCACAAGAAGCTTACACCCTTTAGTGGCGCTAAGCTATGAAGACCAATGCAGACAAGTATAAAAAAAAAAAAAAAAAAATGCACCACCCTGGCAAACATGCTAATTGACTCATATGCACCAACAATGTTGAGTGATCGGCACGTGCCTGCTGTGTCTGGCTTCTATGCTAAATGCTATCGTGCTCATGGTGGATCCAGCAGTGATTTCTGCTTTCACTAAGAAACTTCTACGTTCAGTTATGTGTGTGAGGTATTTCTGCCATTTGTGACTGTTCATATCTTTCACAGTTGAGACTGCAGAGACTCAGTCAGCTCTAAGTATTAAAAACACACTTTGTGGAGCATGGTGGGATACAACAGCTGAGTAGACTTGTTACAGTGGGAGGTTGAGTTGACTGAAGTCATCAAATACAGCCCCTTTGTCACTGATTTTGGCATCAGACATTGACATCAAAAGCCACCTTTGATACAGTATGCTGTGGGGTGGCATCAGTTTGTAATGCAGCCCGGACAGAACCTTTTGTAGTGCTATGATACTCCACTGGTCGGCTGGATGGCACCAGTCATGGCAGTATGATATGCCCCAGGATTGGCATCACTTTGAAACACTACCGGCATATACACTACCGGCATATATTATGACGTTACCGGCAGTACACTGCCGGTAACGTCATAATATAAGGAGCTGGAAAGTCCCTATTGGGTGGGCAGTAGGGGTGGTGAATGGATCCGACAAACCCCGGACAAGCCTGATGTTCCCTTCCCGCATGAATGTAGAGCCAAACCATAATGTTTTTTTATAAAGCTAACCATGTGCTTTTGTTGCCTTAACCTAACCATGGGTCTTTTTTTGGATATCATGGCGTTGGTACTGGTATCACGTAACATCAACAGCAGATGCAAGAGTACCTAGCGTGTAATATGTAGACGTGAAAGTCCACTGACAAAGTGCCAATATGCGATGAATTGGGATGAGAACATGTTGGGACCTGTTATGGTGGGACAGAGACGCTGAGTGGACTGGTTATATTGTGTTTTGTGCATTAACAAGCAAAAATGTTCAACCTAGAGCAGAATTTGTAGCCTATATATCTAAAGTCTCAGTACTTTTACTTGCACATAATTCTAATACTTTTTCCATCCCCTGGTTATAAGCCAATTTCCTAAATTTATTATGTTTATGTAGACAAACTCGTAAAGCTGAGCTGTAACTGGATAAAGACAATATTTAGTCAAAGTGTTGGTCCTTAGGTGTGGCTTAGATATTAATCTTTATTCTTAGTTTTAATGAAAGAAACTATGAGATTAAATTTGGACTCACACATCATTTGCTGAGTGCCACAGACATTGCCTGAACCAGCTGATGTATTGGATTTTCTTTCCACATCCCTCTTTATCTTAATCTAAAAAGAATTGCATAACCATTGATCTCGCACCTCCAGGAGATAACGGTGGAGAAAATGAAATTGTGATCAAAGCAGCCACCCCTCTACATCATCCTGTTACTTTCCACTGAAACATGATAGCAGCAATAATGACATTTGAACATTATCTTACTGTTGGGAATATTTGAAAACATTGCTTTGTGAAGAAAAAGAGTTTGTCTGTTAAATCAGTGGTATTATACTTTACTTATTTGCACAAAAATACCCCATGTATCACTGCCTTACCACATTGAGATGGATAAAATCTGTATGGACATAAACAAAATCAATTCATTCAACACTTCAAAAATATGATGGTTTTGTCAGTGTAACCTCATATTAAGAGGTTCTTCCAGGGGACTTTGGGAGCCACAGATATCACACATTTGGATGAATTATGTTATTTTTGAAGGATTTCTTCAAATTGGACCCTTGACTGGAGAGTGCTTGATAAAGGAACAGCCTTTTACAAAGACAAGTACTTCTGAGGACTTTCCAAATGCTCAACGTTGACCTTATCTAGTTGTTTTATTTAATGTTCACGTAAGAAGATTGGGATTCATCAGATTGCAGATATTTGGAAGCAACTAAAATTACAGCCCTATGATTGTATGCTTCCTCCAACCAGTCAAGTTGTAGTTAACATCCACGTCTGTCCAGACTCATATGTAGCCATGACAGTACACACGCTTCACATGTCATTTCATCATTTTATCTTATGGGATATTTGTGTAAAATTTTGTAATGATTAGCTTATGAATTCTTGAGTTTTGGCCAAAAATGTATTTGTGAGGTCACAGTGACCTCTGACCCTTGGCTACGAAATTCTAATCAATTCATCCTTGAGTCCAAGTGGACGTTTGAAAAAATACCCTTAAGGAGTTCCTGAGATATTTTGTTCACAACAATGAGAGGGACATGAGGTCACAGTGACCTATGACCACCAAAATCAAATCAGTTTGTCCTTGAGCTCAAGTGGCAACTGCGCCAAATTTAAAGAAACTCCATCAAGGCATTCTTGAAATATTGTGGACGCAAGGTCAGAGTGACCATCAGGGTTTCCCACACATTCATATATATTTGTGGTGGCCCGCCATGATTAAAACATCTGAAGCTGCAAAAAGATTTTCTATTTTTAGAGTTGGGCCATTCATAAGGAGAGCTTTTGGAATATTTAAACCGTTCGGTTATTTATAGCACCATATTGTCGGAGTGCAGAGTGTACTCGGGGCAGAGATGGAGGGGCAGAATGTCAGACACATTGAAAGTGAAACTTAACCTTTCATTCTGGTGCATCTAAAAGTTTGCATTCACTTGCAGCAGCTGCTCCTCTCATCAGCTCTGAACAGATTGACAAATCAATGATCCACCCGGCAAGTCACAAACTGCTGGTGACTCATGGAGAGCTCCACCTGCACTGCATTCACAGACTCAACAAAACCTCCCAGTATAGAGACGGAAAACAGAATGATGCAAAGGGACACACAGGCATATAAAAAGAAACAAAAAACAGAAGTTTGCTGTCCCACCCCCGTCATCGGCGCTGCCACACGTACACTCTAATTCTGTGGGAAACACTGACCTTTGACACCAACATCTAATCAGTTCATCCATGAATCCATGTGGACATTTGTAACAAATTTGAGGAAGCTCCCTCAAGGTGTTCTTCAAATATCGCAATCACAAGAAAGGGATGGAAAGATGTACAGACAACCCAAAAACATAATGCCTCTAGCCACAGCTGTCCCGGGGAGGAAGCATAAAACTGCAGACTGGGTCACCAAACGAGATGAAACACAGCTGAAAAATAATTACATTTGTACAAGTAAAGCAAGGGTGATTATTCTGCAGTTCTGCAAATTCACTACATTTCTCTACAAATGATCAAAGCTAATTGTTTACATGAGGCTTTTGCGCATTAGTTGACTTACCGGTATGAATGGAGAAAGGCCAGTGCTTCCTGTCCCTCCCTGAGCTGGGTCTGAGTGTTGCTGCTGGGTCCTTGGGGGCAGGAAATTTGACCATTTCAGTGGCAGCCTCTGTGGTGGTAGTGGGGTTAGAGTGAAGTGGATTGTGAGTGTACACTTCCAATTGGTCTTCTACATCAGGTGGCACATCAGTTGGATCTGGTTCAGTCTGTTCTTTCTCCTTCGCAGTAGCATCTGGTGTCTCTCTGAGCGGCTCATTCACCGCTGTGCTGTTGTCCTTCCTCCTTGCCTTGCCAACACCTCCAGATCCTTTCCTCTCCTTCTTCTCATCTTTATCTTCTTCTTCCTCCTCTTCATCCTTATCCTCTCCTTCCCTCTCACTGTCTTCTCCTTGACCCTTGCTATTCTCTCTGTCCTCACCCCCAGTGTCACTGTTATCTTTGGCTGCAGCTGTCGTGACAGCAGAGGCAGAGGTGGTGGCCTCTTTGGTGGGCTCGGTGGGTTCAGTGGTCTGGCGTGTGGGATTATGGGATGGTGCTCTGCTTGGCCAAACTGAGCTGGGGAAGGAGGAGATAACACCGCCGCTGAAGCCCAAGCCGGCCAGTAAAGTACTGGTCACCACGGACGCCACTGTTGCTTGACTTCCACTGGAGGATGGGCCGATTCCTGTTGCCATGGAGACGAAGGAGAAAGGGATACCTGAGGAGGTCCAAGTAGATGAGCCAGAGGAGATGGGAGCCATATCAGCTGAAGAGGCTGGAGACACTGTCGGCTGAGAAAAAGAACAATTCACTGATTAGAATTTGGAATAATTTGATTTTTTTTCCTCTTCACTCAACTTTCACATTTCAACTAAAGCTCACGCTATACTTTCTGCGTATCTGCGAGGGTCCGCTTTGGTCCTTGTGATGTAAATGTCAGCATCTGCCATGTCTGTGCAGACCCCTATGTGGAGGTTGTATGCATGGCAAATGTTGAAAAGTTACAACATGTAATCTCTTGTCCCACACTCCATTTGGTGGTGTATGCACCTCTAGCTGGTTTGCCAAGAAGAAAAAGTAAAAGAAGAAGCAGAGGAGGAAGAAGAGGAAAGTAAAAGGAGATTTAAAAGAATATTTTTTTCTAGTTGTACAACCAAAATCAACAAACATTAGCTGTTCTTGCTGTCAACAGGTCGCCATTTCTATCCTAACAAACATGCCATTCTTCTTCTTCTTCTTCTTCTTCTTCTTCTTTTTATGGCATTTAGCAGACAATATAGGGTGCATTTCACCCACCCTGAAAACTGCTCCTATGGCAACTAGTACAAGTCAGCTGTCAGCCAGCTGTCTATGGATGTTCAATGTAGAAAGTACGCCCGAGCCTTACTGAGTTTAACCCCTTAAGGTATATTTTAGGGTTCAGTCCTCTAAGTTTGGATCTGGGTCAGGAACCCCTCTCAGTTTGAACTTTTCCCTTTAGCGTTCAGTTTTCATTCTTCTCACAACAACTTCTGTCACCTCTCTTGTGTAAGCACGCAACAGCTTGAATTCCTTTGAGGTGAGACTGCCCGAAAGTGTGCTCTATCATCCCTATCTGAAAGTTTATGACAGCAGGCTTTTTGCCCCACCTTTGAGTCTGGCCTTTCAGAACACCTATGAACACTTTTGGTTTTAGGTGTGGTCATACGACATGTTAAACTACTTCCTTTTTGGCATAATAAGGGCTGAAGGGGTCACATGGAATCCTGTAACGTCAAACCTTAAAACCACTTTTTAATTTAAAGCCTTTCGTGAAATGTGTACCAAAGGCAAGTCTTGAGGATAGTCTACGAACTGTTTCTTTGGAGCATACTGAGGCCTTCAGGGTGTCACAGGTTAACATGGTTGGGAACCACTGTTGTTGGGAACAAAATATCTTAATTTCAAACATTCAAACCACTTTATAATCTTTAGATTCACATGAAATGTTTTAGAAATAAGTAAGAAAAATAGATTTTATCCATCATCAGTCATCATCAGTGCTTATGTAGTGCAGTTACTTCATTTTAAGTATATTTATGCAACATTTTGTCAAAGTAAAGGGAGATTAAGACATACAATCATCAAAACAAACAGCTTGAGCATACCGTACTTATGTCTAAATTTGCACACACAACTTGAAGTAAATTCTGGGTCTTGTGTTTTGCTTAATTTTATATTTGTCCCATAGTGTCGGAAAAGTACAAAAGGATTTTTGTTTTAATGTATTATTTCTACAGAACAAAACACTATTCTATTGTATCATAAATCCCTTTATTCTGCTACATGTGAACCACTGCTTTCTAATCCTGACTATAATTCCCCTTGAGACATTCCTGTCCACACAGGGAAGAACAATGCTAATATAGACACTGCTCTCTGCTGGATGAAACGTAAAAAGACAATATTGGTGATTCACCTCTGCTTCCCTTACCATTCCAGTTTTCACGATCCTTGTCCCCTCAAATATCCTTGTGGTGTTTGCTGAAACACAGAAGAAAAAAAGGGATAATTCACAGTTAAACACAGGAGAGACAACCAAGCAACACTTCACTTGAAGGGGTGTCTAATAGACATCCGTGAGTGCATTGCAAGCCCATTAATCACAACATGACAGAATGTGAATGCAAGGCACTGAATACTTAATGGGGGCAGCCAGTACACTAAATGTAGTTAGATGAAATTAATTCATGTGGCTGCATTTCATCTGCTTACTGTTAGTTCATTTCTTTCTTTCCCTCTTTCATTTTTCCCTTTAGCCTGCAGCTGTTGATATGAGCACATATAAATAACCTGAATATGAGAGATTTTGTGATATTATGATCAAAGGTATCCTGACTGTCAGAAAACACTGTTTGCACAAATGTAAGACAATATGCAGAGCATGTTGAGAGAGGCCTGTGTACATGAAAGAGATATGCACTGAAGCCCATACTGATGGTTATGATGACATTAGAGATAATGCAGCTGCAATTCATGGACACTTAAGGTTTAAGTGGTCTGTGTGTGTGAGTGTGTGTGTGTTTGTTACCTCTGAAGAGCATGCTCTGGCTGAAGTCACTGCGCATGTCATTCATGCAGACGGCCTGGACTCGAAACAGGTACAGCACATCGGGGGAGACGGGAGAAATGACAGCCTCCTGGACAACACACACAAACATACCACAAACAAAATCAGTAAAGTCATCTAAGTTTGTATCATATTAATTCTGATAATAAGACTAATAAGACAAATAAGCATATATATATACATATACTGTATATATTTGATTTTGGGATGAACCGCCCCTTTTAAACTAATATCTACCTTTTAAATTAGGCAACTAAATTTGATTTTTAACTCTTACTGTGGATGCAAAGGTGTGCTAAAAATAAGATATTTCTTTTGCAACAGAAATTTTTTACCTTTTCATGTTCCAGGTTTCCCTCAAAAATGTTTTTGATGCTCTCAAATTCATATTGTATCTGTTCACCATTTTCCTTTTTAAGGGAAACAGTTTTTTGTAATATTTCCCCAACTTTCTATAGGTGGGTCAAACATAACCCACATGTACAATGTTCTTATATCCCTATTAGATATCTACCTGGTGTAGACTCCAAACAGTTACATTAAAATCCAGGAAGACTGGAAAACAGACACACACACACACACACACACACACACGGTACACACATAAACAGAAATAGTAAACTTAACAGGGGCTGACCCAGGCCCGAATTTAAGGAATAGGTGGACTTATTGCTTGTCTGGAGGAACACCAGGAGAAGGGAGAAAATAATGGCTTAGAATTCATTTATCCATCAACTTTTAAATGTCCTTAAACATGGCGTCCAAAATTTCCCACCTCTATTACAGATCAAAATGTATGCACAACTGAAACAGTTTTAAATAAAAAATAAAAGTGGAAAAAGAAAAAAAAAAGTAGAGATCCGCCTTGAGACCAAATCAGACTGCAGTGTTACAGCTTGTTATGCAGGTAGGGCATTGCGTTCTCCTAATGAAGCCACAGCGAAGGTCAACCAGGAAGGCCACTCATCCCCATACACACCATTATTTCTCTACAGCCTTTAATATAGTCAGTTTACTTCACATTCTTACTGGAGGTATCCTAACCCAGGCAATGCACCTCTCTTTCTGTGGTTCATCCATATCATTACATCCAGGCTGTATGTTTCCTTATACTCCCATGGTCACTCCCACATCATTATCTCCCTGTCAAATACAAAAGTTAATATGAGCTGAAAAGTCCACTCTTTAGCACATGCCCGAATGTGGCTCTTCAGTCATGTAAAAACAAGGTGGTTGTGTGTATGTGGTGAGCTGGTAACCCCTATCTCTGTTGAAAGCTCAGAGCGCTTAAAAGTTATTAGACATTTGAGCTAAGATTCTCATATACTGTTCCCAAAGGTTGAGAATGATTGTTCATGCTCAAATCAGCTCACCCCCTCATATTGTTAAAGCCCCCTGTCAAGCTTTCCAAACCAGTTAATAAAAAGAACTCATGCTGCTTTGGATCAGCACAATGATAAAGTTATCATGTACAAGCAGTCCCCTCTGTTATCCATCTCTCTCACATAAGGGGGTGAGAATATAGGACTAATCTTAAAACCGGATGACGTCCAGCAGAGCAATGTTTTAATGGTATAACAGGCTCTCACACATTATTCTTCCACTGCTTTATTCTCTTTAGACGATGTCATTATATCACTAAAGTCTCGTTTTTTAATCAAGTTTGACGAATTTATCAGCCAGCCATTTTCATAAGCTGTTTTATCACTGCAGATAATCAGAGTCACACTGAGTTACAAAGTGCAAAGATACAGCAGGTCCATTGGAAAATAGCTTCTCTGTTTTATGGTAAAATGTTTAATTCAACAAATCAAGGGGACATTTTTAATAATCCTTTACAGTCCGTCCTGTTAACTTACCCACTCATGTAGAAAAATACATGACGGAACAGCCCAGGCTTCAGTGGAAAATGTTGGCATTGAACATTTCTGCAAACAACAAATTCTTATATTTGTACTGTATGTGTCCTATGTATCATATGTGTGTTTCTAAAGTGACATGGTATATGAACTGACTTTGACTGCAGACCACTGTTCGAAACCCCCAAACAACAAAAGCAGTTATTTTTTAGTGGATTGCTTTTAAAGTGGGTGTTTTTAGCGACCCATCCCTGTGTTTCCATGGAAAATAGTGCCATGAAATGCGATTGTTTTTTACTGAGACATCACTGCATTTCCAGCCAGGATTGTGCCACCAAAGCTTGTATTTCAAACAATCTTTTCTGAACCATAACCAAGTGGTTTTTGTGTCCAAACCTAACCACATTTTAACCACAGCATTGTTGAAACACAGAGTACAATGGGTTGGTGAAAAATGTCTTATTTATTAAAGCTGTGGCTCAGGAGGTAGAGCAGGTCACCCACCAACTAGAGGGTTGGTGGTTCAATCCCTGCTCTCTGAGTTTGCATGTTGAAATGTCCTTGGACAAGACACTGAACCACAAATTGCTCACAATAGCTGTGATTGTGCATGAATATGTACAAAACTGAGCAACAGCTGGCACCTTATACAGCAACATCGGCCACCACTGTATGAATGTGTGTGTGAATAGGTAAAGGCCTGAATTAGGATAATGTAAAGTTAGACACAAGCTGAAAGCTGACAATTTTCTCAGTGGCAGTGCCATTTGGTTAAATTATTTACACAGCCATTGACACTGATGTGGCAATGATATACTATACTATACATCTTCAATAAAGACAAGCACACATTTTCTTTCTGAAAGTTGAACTGGGTTAAGTTTTTACATTTGTGTTGTGATTTGCCACATAACACCTTTAATCTCTGTCATGCATTCAGAGAGAACTAGATATCATCACCACAAATGCACCATAGGACTGCGCAGAAAATCTGACGTACAACTGATAGCTTTCATGAGAAGGCAGCGCTCTGTCAGACGTGGGTGTTGCTGTTTACACTAACGCTGTGGAGAATTCAAGCTTCCAGCTGACTCCTGCTCTCACACAGTTGGGTGGCAAAGATTGAGTAAATCAAAAGGTTTCATGTAAACATCTCAAGGCTTCAATGTACAGTGGCATCAACGGCAGCTGATAAACAAACAGGATGTCTGAAGAGTGTGGAATCACATCACTCTGCTCTACAGAACAGATCTGTACCGTTGCTCTATTTATACACTCATACAATGTGTAGTTTTGTATATTAATAAACAAACACCATACGCCTACATTATTACTGCTGCAATAAGACCACAGACACTAGTAGTCTGTAGAGAGACAGGGTATTCTGTAAGTTCAGAATGAGCAAATGTTAAATGTCAGGACTAATGAATCTTGGTGTTTAATGAGGTAGTGATGATGCATGAACAACCACCAACTTTCATCCGGGAGGCCAGTGTTTGCTTTTCGAGAGACTGGAATGCCTGGTTCACACTACACGATATCAGCCCGGTTATAGCGCGTCGTACACGATAATTCATTGTTTCATCTCGTGTAGTGTGTCATAGTAGACAACAACCGACGCCAAGCCTGGGACGCCTCACAACGTTCCAACAGAAAGTCTAGCATTTTTGATTTTCTTTTTGTCATTCATGACTGCTCCCATCACAGCCGTCACTTTGATCAATAGGAACACAGAGCGATCTGCTGTCATAGACAAGGCAACAACACCCCAGCCTTTTTGATATTTCCTGTAGGGATGTTGCTACAACAGTAAGTAAGAGTAACAAGGGAAAAATATTACTGCCAGTAGTAGTAATAGTACTGCAATTAGCATCAAGCTAGCAAACAATGTAATGCCTGGTTCACACTACATGGGTGCGGTTACATGACGGCTTCTCATTCAGAATGAAATAAATCTGAATGAAATAGTTTACATGAGAAATATTCATTCCGAATAAGGTTTTAGATGGGAGATCAGTTTAATCGCCTTTATTCGGGTCTGCGCAAGGTTTGGGGCAGGGAAGGTTTCTGATTGGGTAGGGGGCGGGGTGGATGTTACGTGTTTACGTTTACCGGAGGAAAACACTGTAGTCCTCGCTCCGGATAACAAGATGCTTGATGACGCCATTCTTAGTGCCTTTATAGGGCTTGTTTTGCTTATATTCTTGAAGCAGCAGTACAACAACAACCTTGTTCTGCTAATGCTTCGTCTGTTGAGGAGGAGAAGGGAGGTAGAAGGTCGAAGAAGGGAGATAGAAGACCGTGCTTTGGCGAATGGAAACCGGTTAGTGTAGCCATAGACATATGCCTGTTAGTGCAACAAGTCGCACAAGCTATATACGTCATCGCGCCAGAAGGGCAAGGAAACGAGCGTGCGCAGAAAGGCCGGAATGGACTTAAAGAGGAATGAACGTTTACATGCACACAAATTTCTTTCATTCGGAATGACGAACGGAATAAACCACCTCCTTTAATTGGATTTAATTTTCATTCGGAATGACCATTTACATGACCACTTTTAATTGGAATGGCCTTTCATTCCGAATGAAAGTGGAATTCAACTGTCCATGTAAACGTACTGCATGACATTTCTGTCCATTCTGACAGTCACTATGTCACATTATGCGACTGTGGAGTCATAAAATCGTGCCGTGACTTGGCCGATAGACATGACCAAATGTCGATATGTGACAAGGTCAAAGTGAGAATGTGTTGCATTATTACATGAATGAGGACAGACTAAATATTAGAAACACCACCAGGGGTGTTTTAGCATGGGGATAAGTGGCATTGATTACCCAGGGCTCCAATGGGTGGAGGGCTCTTGAAAAGTCTTGAATGAAAAGTTTGGTTTTGTTTACAAGTTTTTTATTGTAAGTATTAAGTGCCATACATAAATTAGAATTTGAAAGACTTAGTATAGAAAAAAAAATAGTTGAAGCTCTCTGAGGTGCCTCTCACCCCTTAAAGGTGCAAAGTAGTTTAGTCCATCCTTGCACCAGGATTCGTCTCTAGACACAGCAAGAGCCGAGTGACTGCTTATGATGCTGGAGCCCCAATGTGCATTGTCATGGGCCCCCTGTCCTTCCTCTCTTGATCCATGTTCTGTACCTTTTGAATTTTTTATTTATTTTTTACAAAGTCAGTTTGCTTTCTTTCCCTTTCCTTAGTT